GCGGAGTGTTTGATATGGACATATGGGGAAGGGAGAAATTGCCTAGAATGAGTAATATTATGAAGTTGGTAAATTTGTCCTTGTGGTCCTAACTTTTTTTTTCCTAAGGTATAACTCCTTTACAACCTTCTAGTATAAGTGTTCAGTATCCTGATATTTCTTTCTCTGTGCTAGAACATGCTTCCAGAAAAAGCTGAAATATTCATTTATAGTAAGATGTAAATAGCTGATAAGGTTTAATATGGTACCATTGCCAGGAACTTTAGGCTTTTCGTAAATCACAACATATTTAAACCCAATAGAATATATCACAGCATTTTGAACATCACTGAGCAATATTCAGGCAGAGGTCTGTGAGCTTTGAAATGAAGCACCTACTCTTAAAACCTACCTGAAAAGATGTTTATTGTTGCCTGTGTAGGTGAAAGAGCAATAAAGGACTTTGAGTTTGGGAGATTCACTCCACCCCTTACCACTTTTAAACACAGACACTGAGACAAACTGACCAATACTTTGAAGATTACAGTAGATCTTGAACTAGTGAAGCAAATGTATCGTAAGAGGTTAACAGAATCAGAAATTTTGGGTAATGAAGCTTTATCGTGTCTGTCTTAAAACAATCATTTTGACAAAATATTACTCCTTGAACTTTAGGTAATTTTTGCCTTCATTTAAAATAAAAGTCGGCTGGATGTGGTGGCGCAGCCTGTAATCCCAGCACTTTGGGAGGCCAAGGCAGGTGGATTGCCTGAGGTCAGGAGTTCAAGACCAGCCTGGCCAACATAGTGAAACCCGGTCTCTACTAAAAACACAAAAAATTAGCTGCGCATGGTGGCAGGCGCCTGTAATCCCAGCTACCGGGGGTCTGAGGCAGGAGAATCACTTGAACCCAGAAGATAGAGGTTATAATGAGCCAAGATCACGCCATTGCACTCCAGCCTGGGCAACAAGAGTGAAACTCCATCACAAAAAATAATAATAATAATAAAATAAAAAATAAAAGTCTGACTATTCTTCCACAGTAAGATACAGACTTGGAAATAGTGTTGATCATTTTTGAATTGCTGTCCCCTCAGTGGTTAATTTGGTTTCCAAAGGAGAAAACTAAATATAATTCTTGTCATTCACTTACAATTTACTGTCTATTGCTCATTGTGATTTTCTTTAATAGTATGATATTTTTTATTTTCTCTCTCACACCATAGTATTCCATTTAATTTTAAAATGGTAGTCTCATCTGATTCTAAGCCCAGGTCGCTTATTGGTCAGACAAAAATACTCATGGATTCTAAATTGCATTTTCTCCACAGCATGTTATTATCAAGTCACCAGTTTAGTATTTGACCTCAGATAACACTGAGGTCCATTTTGCTAATATGCTCTCTCACTATATTTTAGTTCATTACAGAATATTCTGAAAGATACAAATTTATTTATAACTCATGGTTGAATTCCCATTGTAAATCCTCTCTTTAGTGTCACAGCAAAACTAGGAACTGGCCTTTCAACATTTACAACAGCATAATATGTCTTTCCACAAGCCACATTTGTTTTGAAAATGATTGTATATTTAGAAGACCCCATCGCCTCAGCCCAAAATCTACTGAAACTGATAAGCAACTTCAACAAAGTCTCAGGATACAAAATCAATGTGCAAAAATCACAAGCATTCCTAGATACCAATAACAGACTAACAGAGAGCCAAATCAAAAGTGAACTCCCATTCACAATTGCTACAAAGAGAATAAAATAACTAGAAAGACAACTAACAAAGGATGCAAAGGACCTCTTCAAGGAGAACTACAAACCACTGCTCATGGAAATAAGAGAGGACACAAACAGATGGAGAAACATTCCATGCTCATGGTTAGGAAGAACCAATATTGTGAAAATGGCCATACTGCCCAAAGTAATTTATAGATTCAACACTATCCCCATCAAGCTACCAATGACCTTCTTCACAGAACTGGAAAAAACCACCTTAAACTTCACATGGAACCAAAACAGAACCCGCATAGCCAACTCAATTCTAAGCAAAAAGAAGAAAGCTGGAGGCATCATGCTACGTGACTTCAAACCACACTACAAGGCTACAGTAATCAAAACAGCAGAGTACTAGTACCAAAACAGAGATATAGACCAATGGAACAGAACAGAGGCCTCAGAGGCAATGCCACACATCTACAACCATCTGATCTTTGACAAACCTGACAAAAACAAGCAATGGGGAAAGGATTCCCTGTTTAATAAATGGCATTGGGAAAACTGGCTTGCCATGTGCAAAAGGCAGAAACTCGACCCCTTCCTGACACCTTACACTAAAATTAACTCCAGATGGATTAAAGACTTAAACAGAAGACCTAACATCATAAAAACCCTAGAAGAAAATCTAGGCAAAACCATTCAGGACATAGGCATAAGCAAGGACTTCATGACTAATACACCAAAAGCATTGGCAACAAAAACCAAAATAGACAAATGGGACCTAATGAAACTCCACAGCTTCTGCCCAGCAAAAGAAACAGTCATCAGAGTGACTTGGCAACCCACAGAATGGGAAAAAATCTTTGCAATCTACCCATTTGACAAAGGGCTGATATCCAGAATCTACAAAGAACTAAAACAGATTTACAAGAAAAAACAAGCCCATTCAAAAGTGGGCGAAGGACATGAACAGATACTTTAAAAAGAAGACATATATGAGGCCAACAAACATGTGAAAAAATGCTCATCATCACTGGTCATTAAAGAAATGCAAATCAAAACCACATTGAGATACCATCTAATGCCAGTTAGAATGGCGATCATTAAAAAATCTGGAGACCACAGATGCTGAGAGGATGTGGAGAAATAGGAACATTTTTACTCTGTTGGTGGGAGTATAAATTGGTTCAATCATTGCTGAAGACAGTTTGGCAATTCCTCAAGGACCTAGAAATAGAAATTCCATTTGACCCAGCAATCCCATTATTGGGTATATATCCAAAGGATTATAAATCATTCTATTATAAGGGCACATGCACACGAATGTTCATTGCAGCACTGTTTACAATAGCAAAGACTTGAAACCAACCCAAATGCCCAATGATGATAGACTAGATAAGAAAAATGTGGCACATATACACCATGGAATACTATGCAGCCATAAAAAACAATGCATTCGTGTCCTTTCCAGGAAGATGGACAAACCTGGAAACCATCATTCTCAGCAAACTGACCCAAGAACAGAAAATCAAACACCACATGTTCTCACTCATGGGCGGGTGTTGAACAATGAGAACACATGGACACAGGGAGGGGAGCATCACACACTGAGGTCTGTAGGGGGGAACTAGGGGAGGGAAAGCAGGGGTTGGGGAGTTGGGAAGGGATAACATGGGAAGAAATGTCAGATATAGGTGGGGGGGAAGGCAGAAAACCACATTGCCATGTATGTACCTACACAACATGTTCCTGCATGTTCTTCACATGTACCCCAAAACCTAAAACACAATAAAAATGTGTGTGTGTGTGTGTGTGTGTGTGTGTGCTAAAGAGACTGACTCAGCATCCTGAGATGTTCAGGCATTGTATTCCCCCCACCAAAAGAAATTTTTATGTATCTCATATCTCAAATTACAGGTTATTTATATGCAAAAATTGCAGATAGTTCATCTATGAGATATTAACTCCTGGCAATTCAATAATAGCTTTTTAGTAACATGTTTTTCTTCATTTAATATTGTGTTGCTCTTACAATATCTACAAACTAACTCGTAAACAATGTCACACTTTTAATCATTTTACTTTGGAACATACTTTATTCTCCACACTAAGCTATTGGGCAAAAAGAAACTTTTATAAGAAATGCAGAAATAAAATTGCTAAAATCTAATTACAAAACAAAATATTTGGGGTTTGATTTTAATGTTTTAATTAGAAAAGGAAAAGCAATTTTAAGTGGAGCTTGCTATACTTAGCTGCATTACTATTAACATATATTATTATGTTAACACAATAATAATTCTTTGCCCTTTTCATATGGAAAATAGATTGTAAAAAAGAGAATGATCTTTTTTCTACCAAATGTTAAACAATAAAAGCATATTGTTTTATGTGACCATTTAAGACCTATGATCACTTTTAAAATTCAACAATGCTTAGACACACTTAACAAGTCTTAATTCTTTGCAGTCTGTGCCATACACACACAACAAAGATTAAGCAGATTTATTTTTCTAAAACTTTTTAATTATTTTCTAGTTTCACTAGAAACGAGTGTAAGATTCTATTTCCACCACAAGGTGTCAGTCCATGGTAATTTAATCTTCAAAGGGCTTGAAAATTTTCCGTGGAAAGTCAATGACTACAGAAAATGCTTACATTAAAACATGAAGTCTTTGGTGCTCTCACAGTGAATAAAAAACAATCACAGAAAATGTGGTTGAGCGTTTATTTTTCTTTGCATTTTCTACTCAGCTTAGTCCTGAGAATGTTGTACACCAAATCCCCAGAATTTTGCAATTCATGTCTCAGACACTATCCTGAGGCTGGTTCCAAGGGAGAGAAGTAACTCCTCCGCTCAAGTTCTTTTTCTAAAACTTTGAAATATTAACAGTTAACTTTTCCTTAGGTCTGGAATACTTCGTTGAGCTAGGATATGGAAAGCTGCACTTAAAAGCTGAGGCAAGGAAGGGAGGGCCGGGAAACATTGGGTTTAGGGGTTTTTTTCGGCTGGGGAGCGGGGTTTGTGCCATTAAAGGTACACAACGTAAACAATTCAGGGAGCAAGTCACTCTCAGAAATTCAGCTTCGGATTCCTCAAACTGTAAATCACAGACACTTCACGACGGGCTGTTAGGTTTTAAATAAGCTAACGTGTAGGATGGTTTGTAAGCTCTAAACGACCCATCTCAAAGTGTGACCTGGGAATGCTTCCATATCTCCTGGGAACTTGTTAGAAATGAGAATCTCAGGCTCCGCGCCAAACATACTGAGCCTGACAATCGGTGTTTCAATAAGCACCCAGGGAATTCTGATACATGCTAAAGTTTGAGAATCACTGCTCTAGAGAAATGCACAAACGTTACTTATTAGAGATTAAACAAAAGGCGAAGGGGTGGAGGGCGCGGAACGGGCCTCAGGGGCAGAGCAGAGTGCATTTGAGAGGAACCTGGAAGAGGCCGAGGTGCGACTTGAGGAGTCGTATACCTGCTGCCTAGGCCTCTGAGGACGGTCCCGAACCCTCGGAGGCCGGGCGCCAGCAGGTGGCGCTGGACGCACAACTGACCTGGAGGCGGAGCCTGCAGCAGGCGTGGAGACGCGGCGCTCGGGAGGCTCGGGCTCCGCGTGGAGTCGGCACCTCCCGGCAGCAGCGGCAGCCGAGACTCACGATCAAGCTACGGCGAGGAGTGGGTGAGTCCCTTGGATCGTTCTTACTGGCTGCTTCCTCCTGGAGTCCGCCCGCGTGTCCCTGCAAGGCTGGGCGCCGGCTCCCAGTCTTGAGAGGGGTGTAGCGGGTCGCACGCCTTTTCGGGACCGGGGCGGCGGCGCTCCTAGGCTAGCACTGCTCAATTCTCCCTTTATGTGCCGCTCCGGGACGCACTGTCTTCCAGCTCAGCTCGGTTGTGGCAGGGCGGCGGGTTGGAAGAGTCACAGGAAGCCTTTTCTCTAGGGGCTTAAGGTTGTGATGGATTATTAAGTTTGTTCTCAGGTTGGGTTTTGATATCAAGTGTTTTAACGTGGCAAAGTCGCCAGTTTGCTGTGCGTTGACGAATGATTGGCGCACGGTACTTAAAATCGTGCTACTTCTCGGCTTCGGGTTCCTAGTAACAGAGGTTTTCCCTTTTAGTCGTTAGAACACTGGCCCTACTCTTTCAGGATCTGGGTGGGGTTCGGGTTTCCTCCAAAATAGTCAATCAAGGCTTTAAATATGCAATTCTGGTCAAATCCACTGAAAGGAGTTTGTAGACATAAATTTTTTTTTACTTTATTTCTTTACTTTTGTAAAAAACACACACACACACACACACACACACACACACATTTCCCTCCACATCCTGACATGTAATAAAAGGTTATTCATTTAACGTGAATGTTAACCACAGAGGGAAAGCAATGCTGAAAAGGAAAAACAGCACAGTGAAAAAACAAACTTGCCTTCACGTAATTAAATGTAAAACGAGTGTGTACTTGAAAGTATAAAAGGTTGGAAATGCAATGCAACTCAGATGTATTCCAGTCATTGGGTTTCTTCATATTCTCAGCTGAGGTACATAAACATGAGTCAGTTGGGCTGTGCCAATATTTAGGAACACCAGGGCGGCCATCCTGGTACAGCTAAACAGCAGTCGCATTAGAAATATGCTTCACTTTTTTAAAAGGGGGTGAAAGTTAGAGAACTTTGGGTCGAACTCTGGAGTGCCTAACATTTTAACACTATGTTGTTTTATTTTTCTTTTTATGAAAAGATTTTACTGTAGAGCGAAAATTGCATTTTGGTTAATGTCTGATGGAAACCAAGAAATTTATTTAACTCAGTCGTTTTTTTTTCCTGGCTTATGGGCTCAGAGTTGACTGTGGGCCATACAGTCAACAAGCTCCCTCACTGTCATGGGCTTTTCCTTGGCTTTGCTCTGAAGCATGGTCTCTTTACCATGCAGACAAGTGGCTGCGAACCTCTCCAGGGCAACTATGGTTTTCCACCCAGACTCTCTTTGTAGTGACCATCAGTCAGCAAACATTGCCAACTTGCTAGCTACCCCAGGACTGGGTCTAAAACACAGGCCCCAGCCTTTTCCTCTGCTTCCCTTCCCATGCCACCATCTGTCTATAAAACTTTATCCTCTTCTAGGATACATCGCTCTACCATGCAGTTACTTGTTGAAATGCCTGCCTTCTCTCCCAGACTTCAAGGTTTTTCAGAGAAGAAGCTTTATTTCATTTAACCTTGTATTCCCCCTGCCTTACATTGTTGTTCCCAATATAGTTAATGAATTCATATTGAATAAACATAGATGTATTTGTTAGCATCTTTACCATCATGAAACTCTCAAAGTTAAAACAACTTCTAAACATAATGAATTATTTCTCATATTTGATTACAGTAGGTGACACTTCCATCCTAGCACCTCCTTCCCCACCCCACAAACCATTATGTTGGTGATATGGTTTGAAGCTGTGTCTCCCCCTCAAATCTCATGTTGAAATATAATCCCCAAAGCTAGAACTAGAGTCTGGTGGGATGTGATTGGACCATGGGAACGGTTTCTCATGGTTTAACACCATCGCCCCTTGGTGCTGTTGTCACATTAGTGCAGGGGTCCCCAACCCCCTGGCCGCAGAATGGTATTGGTAAGTGTTCTGTGAGGAACTGGGCTGTGAGGAACACAGCAACAGGTGAGTGGCAGGCCAGCCTGAGCATTACCGCCTGAGCTCCACCTCTTGTCAGATGAACCGTGGCATTAGATTCTCTTAAGGGTATGAACCCTATTACAAAATGCACATGCAAGGGATCTAGGATGTGTGCTCCTTATAAGAATCTAACTATTTTGCCTGATGATCTGAGGTGGAGCAGTTCCATCCTGGAACGCTATCTTTCTCTCCCGACTCGGAAAAATTGTCTTCAATGAAATCAGTCCGTGGTGCCAAAAAGGTTGGAGACCACTGCAATAATGTAAGATGCCTCATCCCACTTTACCTTTCAACATGACTGTAAACCCCCAGAGTCCTCCCCAGGAGCAGATGTTGCCTTGCTTCCTGTACAACCTATGGAACCATGAGCCAATTAAACCTCCTTTCTTTATAAATTACTCAGTCTCAGGTATTTCTTTATAGCAGTGTGAGAACAGCCTAATACAGCTAGTTAAGTCACCAAATGACTTGGCATAATGCTTCTTAAGGAGATAGAGTGTCCTTTCCTCCAGAGCAAGTATGAGTGTCATTTCTGTTTTTCCTCTTTATTGTTGACCACAGAATTGGGTTCATAAACACTTGATGATTGGCATATGCTTTACTCAGAATACTTGTACATGCTAGTGGTGAACACCCAAATCACACTAACGTAAACCAAAAAAGGAATGTGTGGATTGTGTAACTGAAAAATTCAGGATCTAGTCTCAGGGACTCTAAATACTAAAATATGCCACCAGGACTCTTCTGTGTCTTTCTCCACTTCCTGTTCTGCTTCCATGTTGGCTTTCTTCTATTCTAATGAAAATATCTTTCTTCTTACAGCAAGGAGGAAAAAGCATGGCAGGCTTATACTGTCCTATCTTAACAAAATGTCAGACATCTCATCTCGCCCTTCTACTTCCATATATAAATTTCAGAGGATGACTATGGGTTAACTAGGGTTGTGTACCATCCCTAAGCCAATCAGTGGGAGGATAGGAAACTCATTGGCTAGACCTGAGTCATATACCCACTTCTGTGACCAGAAGTTGGGCATTACAATTTTGTGCAGCCTCCCAAAATCATACTGGAGGGAGGAGGGGCATTTCTCCAAATGGAGGAAATGTTTTAAATCAGAAGAGAATGTGGGCAAACTAAAACAACAATATCCTCATCATAAATGTTCTGTAATTTTGAAATAGATAATATCTGGAAAATGTTCCAAGAGCATCTCAACAGAGAAAATGTTGGCTTATATAAAAGCAACTCCTCTTTATTCATTGTTATGGTTAAACTTTTAAAACTTGGAGAATGTTTCAAGAACAGTCATTTGTCTCTTCATTACAGAATACATTCCGAGAAATTCATTGTAAGCCAATTTCAGTGTTGGGGAAACATCATAGAGTGTACTTACATAAACTTAGATGGTACAGTCTCCTTCATACAGAGGCTAGATGGTATAGTCTATTGCTCCTAGGCTCCTAATCTGTATAGTGTGTTACTGTGCTGAATACTGTGGGCAGCTGAAACACAATGGTGTTTGTATATCTAAACATAGAAAAGGTATAGGAAACATACATATATAGTATAAAAGATAAAAGAATTGTTTACCTGTAGAGGGCACTTACTATGAATGAAACTTGCAGAACTGGAAGTTGCTCTGGGTAAGTCAGTTAGTGAGTAGTGAGTGAGTGTGAAGGCCTGGAACATTACCGTATACTACTACAGACTTTACAAGTGTTGTACACTTCAGCTACCCTACATTTATTGAAAAATTTTTTCTTTAATAATAACCCTTAACTTACTATAACATTTTTACTTTATTAACTTTTTAATATTTTGACTCTTTTGTAATAACATTGAGCTTAAAACAGTTACATCGTACAGCCATACAAAAATGTTTTCTTTGTTTATGTTTTTACTCCTTAAGCTTTTTTCTATTTCTAATTTATTTTTCTTTGTAGATTTTTGTTAAAACTAAGACACAAACACACACATTAGCCTAGACCTACCCAGGGTCAGGATCATCAATATCACTGTCTTCCACCTCTCTATCTTATCCCACTGGAAGGTCTTCATGGGGCAGTAACAGGCATGGAGCTGTCCTCTCCTATGATAACAGTGCCTTCTTCTGGAATATCTCCTGAAGGACCTGCTTAGGGCTGTTTACAATTAGCTCTGTTTTTGTAAATAGAAGGAGTACACTTCACAATAATGATAAAAAGTATAGTATTATAAAAACTAGGCAACAGAAATTTTTTTGCTCCATTATAATCTTAGGGGACCACTGTTACATATGCAGTCGGTTGTTGACCAGAATGTTATGCGACACATCACTGTATTTTAAACTATTCCTAGAAACAGCTTTCCACCTAAAAAAGTACTACGTGTTCTAAAATTCAGAAACACTTGAGTTGTTTTCTGTCAATCAAATTGTTGTATATCTATTCTGTTTTTCTCATTGAATTTCATAAAGTATAAATTGAAGATGTGTCCCTCAGGGAATAAATTCAGAACTAATAAAAACAATAATACCGTGACATATGTTTCCTTTCCCTAAAAAATGTTACACCAATCCTGGATGAGGATCTGTAAGTTTGTTAAAGAAAAAATTGTTTTATCAAGTGAGAAATTTGAAAAGTTATTTTCCATGGGGTTGACCAGATACTGGGCACATCATTAATCCAGCACAATTCACCACTCCCACTGGAAACATACTAGCAATTCACATCTTCACATCTTCCAAAGACCAACCTCTTACTCCAAAAGAAAAATGGCATTCTGAAAATATTGTTTTAGACTTCAGTGTCAACCCCAAAAGTCTGTTGAACATTAATCTTATATCAGCTATCTCCAGCCTCCATTGATGACATTATTACTCTCAATATAGTGCATTTCTAATTATATTTGCCATTGACAGGAGTTGGCCTTCCTCCAGATGGAAACCTAAAATTACATCTTCCTAAAGTAAAAGGCAACAACATATAACCCTTTGTAATCCATACAGACACCTAGGATATTCATTGACCAAATAAGTGGATAAAGAAGAGCAGTTACTATTGATAAGAGGGCATTGGTTTGAAACGTTTACAGATTATAATGTGAGGTTAAATGCATTATAAGTTAAATGCATTATCAAATAAGTCACTATTTGAATTTTTATTGTACTTTGCCACTCTAGTCTTTAAACAAGTAAACTTTTTATATAGTTCCATCAAACATTCACATCATAAATAGAATAGACATGAAAGTAATTATTTTTATTTTTACAGGTAGCTGAAGCCATACTATTTTATAGAATTAATGGAAAGCAGAAAAGACATCACAAGACAAGAAGAACTTTGGAAAATGAAGCCTAGGAGAAATTTAGAAGAAGATGATTATTTGGTAAAATATTAATAATAACAATAATAAGTAATAATCAACATCTATAAACATAATTCAGATGCCATTCTGTATCTCCTAGTGTTATGAAGTGATTTTTCACCCTAGTCTGCTGATATCTGGACTTGGATTACTGTCGCTGATACTGTGAAGGACAGAGTAGTACATGTAAGAGAAATAGTACCTTGACTGATTGTCAGGAACTGAGCTGAATAACCTTGAATAAGTCACTGAAAATCTGGGGTCTTAGTCTAAGCCATGAAAGCCTTGGACCAGATCATCCCCAAGGCCCTTCCAATTCTTTCTAACAGTCTATACTTCTAACCTTTTTTTTTTAAAAAAAAAGTCATCAAAGCTCATACAACAGTAATTTTGTTAGCAAGCATTTTTGTCATAGACACAATGGCAGCTTACCAAGAGATCATCTAGTAAGTTGGTGATTCACTGTAAAACCAAAAAATTTACTTTTGGGTAAGAATCACTTGTCCTACTTTTGGTCAACCACAGGATTAAGTGTTTCTTACTACATTTTTTGACTGAAAAAGTGGCAGAAAATTTTGGTTCCAAACTCTCCCAAACTATCTCAATGGAAGTTTTAGCAGAAATTATTTATTTAATCTTAATAATTTTAATCGGGATAAGTAAGAAATTATAAGCATATACTTTATAAAAGTAACAATGTGCATAAAATGAAATGATTGCATTTCTCAAGTTTACTGTCTTGTCTGAAGCATGTATTTCTTTTGTCCTAAAGACAAAAATCTTTCAGTGCCACATAGACTATGCTATCTTCAACTAACCAGTATTCAAAAGCAACGCTCTGAATGCTGTCATTCAGTGAGAAGCGTAATGCTTGAGCAATAAGTAATTAAAGAGATATCCCATTGTTTTGTTCAATTTTAAGATGTTTATCTTCTTTTCTTTTTTCTTTGTAGCATAAGGACACAGGAGAGACCAGCATGCTAAAAAGACCTTCGCTTTTGCATTTGCACCCAACAGCCCATGCTAATGAATTTGACTGCCCTTCAGAACTTCAGCACACACAGAAACTCTTTCCACAATGGCACTTGCCAATTAAAATAGCTGCTATTATAGCATCTCTGAGTTTTCTTTACACTCTTGTGAGGGAAGTAATTCACCCTTTAGCAACTTCCCATCAACAGTACTTTTATAAAATTCCAATCCTGGTCATCAACAAAGTCTTGCCAATGGTTTCCATCACTCTGTTGGCATTGGTTTATCTGCCAGGTGTGATAGCAGCAATTGTCCAACTTCATAATGGAACAAAGTATAAGAAGTTTCCACATTGGCTGGACAGGTGGATGTTAACAAGAAAGCAATTTGGGCTTCTCAGTTTCTTTTTTGCTGTACTGCATGCACTTTATAGTCTGTCTTACCCAATGAGGCGGTCCTACAGATACAAGTTGCTCAACTGGGCATATCAACAGGTAAGATGACAATGTTGACACTATTACTAAATAAAAAGTCTAAGTCACCTAACAAAGTAATCATTTCTCATTGTAATATTAATACCCTAACTCCTGTTGAAACTCAATGTTGAAAATTTCATATATTTTTAAATGTTTATTATACTTTCACTAGGGCTTTGTTCTCAGTCGGTTTTATACTGAGAAGCGTTTTTAAGCTGAAAATAAGGTACAACTTTAGCAACATAAGAAACATTTTATTCATGAACAAGGCCACATTTCAAATTTCTACCACCTTCACAAGATTACTTTTTAATACTGATCGTTCTTATCTTCTCCTTGTTTATCTTCTTAATAAGCATGCACATTACAGTTCTAACCAAGTAATTTTAGAAAATTAGGCCAGGCACGGTGGCTTAAGCCTGTAATCCCAGAACTTTGGGAGGCCAAGGCAGGTGGATCACGAGGTCAAGTGATCGAGATCATCCTGGTCAACATGGTGAAACCCCGTCTCTACTAAAAATACAAAAAATTAGCTGGGCATGGTGGCACGTGCCTGTAATCCCAGCTACTCAGGAGGCTGAGGCAGGAGAATTGCCTGAACCCAGGAGGCGGAGGTTGTGGTGAGCCAAGATTGCGCCATTGCACTCCAGCCTGGGTAACGAGCGAAACTCCACCTCAAAAGAAAATTAATATATTATGGAAATGTTGCATTCAAGAAGAAAAGTGATAGCTTCTATGTCATTTGTCTTAGAAAAATACCCAAAAAAAAGAAAGAAAAAGTCATACATGTGTGGAGACCTGTTTCTGGGCTTCATAGTAGACACAGGGAAGAGTATAGAAGGAGATTCACATTCAGGAAATAACTCTTGTTTGCATTCCTTCTTTTTGTGTTTACCCTCTGGTAGGTCCAACAAAATAAAGAAGATGCCTGGATTGAGCATGATGTTTGGAGAATGGAGATTTATGTGTCTCTGGGAATTGTAGGACTGGCAATACTGGCTCTGTTGGCTGTGACATCTATTCCATCTGTGAGTGACTCTTTGACATGGAGAGAATTTCGGTATATTCAGGTAAATAATCTATAAAATAACTCTAAGAAATAAATCTACTTTTTGCACTTATAATAACAAATATGTTGACTTTACCCATAAAAAATAACAAATGTTTTTCAATAGCAAAGATGTTGCACTTGTTTCAGTTAATAATGTGCTCTCCTGTTGTTCTCCCTATTGCTTCTAATTAGAACAAGTGTTTCCTAGACATAAATAAAAGTCATTAAAATATTCTTTTTTTTTTTTTTTTTTTTTTTTTTGAGATGAAATCTCACTCTTTTGCCCAAGCTGGAGTGCTGTGGCATGATCTTACCTCACTCCAACCTGTGCCTTTTGGGTTCAGGTGAGTCTCCTGCCTCAGCCTCATGAAAAGCTGGGATCACAGGCGCCCACCACGATGCCCAGCTAATTTTAGTATTTTTAGTAGAGATGGGGTTTCCTCATATTGGACAGGCTAGTCTCAAACTCCTGACCTCAAATGATCCACCCACCTCGGACAGTCATGAGCCACCACACTCCGCCTGTTGATTCTAATATTTGAAACTTGTTAAACAATTTGCTACCCATCTAATGTGATATTTTAGGAATCCAATATGCATGGTTTATTAGTTCTTTGAAAATAAAAATATTCCTTTTTCCTGTCACCTGAATTTAGTAATGCCTTTTATGTTACACAACTTAGCACTATCCAGAAGCAAAAGCTCTCTCCTTGAAATAATAGTGTTTTATCTACCAAAGATATTCTAGTATGTAATTTCAAAGGCTGCTTTTTCCAGCTTACATTTTATATAGCTTACTCAATTTAAGTTTCTAAATAGTCTTGGAATTTTAAAACTATCTTAGATTTACCAAAGTTTATCTTCTGGTGGTAGATTATCCATAAAAAAAAAAAAGTGCTGTGCCACAATTCACTTGGGATCCTTGTCTGACAAGATTCAAAGGACTAAATTTAATTCAGTCATAAGCACTCCCAGTTGTCTTTTGTGGGTAGACATCTTTGGAAATTTCCACAAAGTCAGACATTCCCAACTATCCCTTCTACATGTCCACACGTATACTCCAGCACTTTGTCAGGGCATCTGATTAGGCTGGAAAGTATGCCTCCATCTGAATTCTTCCAGTGTGGCTTAGAGGTGGTACCACATTCTCACAGAATTTCCTGATTTTGTAGGTTTAGCCTGAGAGCCATTGGAGTTCTCTGATCTTCATTAAATAGCTTTCTTCATACATTACTCTGCCTGTTACACATATGGAGAACACCACTTTTTGGACTTAATTAGGAATTTAAGACTGCATCTTGACAACTGAGCTCATTCCACAATATGCACAAAACCTAGCCCATAATAAGTATACAATACACATTTGGTAAAATTAATTTTCAACCAATAACATGTATGTTTAAACCAGAAACCTAGAAATGTTTCACTTAATATCTGAGAACTGGTTACACTATGATTTACCATGGAGATTCACATCTTAAAATATAAACTTAGCTAATTGATTATATTCACTGGGACTTAAGAATATGGCTGAATAATTGTGAGTTAGATTTGTTCTGGCAGGCCAATGACCATTTCCAGTAAAGTGAATAGATGTCAGAAGTTATATAGAAGTGCTGTTGCCAGAACACTGTTGAGGTTACATAGGTGCGCAACTATTTTTAAGCAATTTTATCTGTGTAGTGACAAAGCACCCCAACACAAGCTGAAATGTTTCATCACATCTCCAGATCTATTTTGTGCAGACATTGAAAAAATTTCAGTTATCCATAATTGAAAAAATTTCAATGTCTGCACAAAATGTTCAGTGTTCAATGTTCACATTTTTCCATTTTATCAGAATATTCAATTTTTTAAAACATAGGCCAAGTTCATTCACTTCATTATTAATTTATCAAAATCAGAGTGAATCACACTAGTCAACTTTGCAATTGATAAAGATCACTGAAGCCAAATTTATTTTTTTCTGTAATCTTCAGTTAACCTACCTATATTTAATTGAGCATCTAAAATGTGCAAATCATTGTGTTGATTCTGCAGGGATCCTGTTATAAGTAAGACTCAGTCCTTGATTTTAGGTGGCTTGTGATAAGCAGAATTAAGACAAATATACAAGAGATAAAGCCCAAAAAATAAATGTCATTTAAGAGAGATGAACAAAATGGTAGAGAAAGAATAGACAGGATTTTTGATCACCTGCATGCAAAGAAAGGCTGTGGATTTTGTTCCCTTAGATAGCCTAGAGAAAAGAACATTACCCAAATGTAAGGTGAGGGGGACATGCACAAAGGGTAGAAAGATATGAATGGACATTGTTGAGAAATGTGATAGGAAAACCATCATAGATAAAGGATTTCCAAGCAGCCAGAGCATATCCAGATGAGGTCGGATGGGATAAACTCCTACTGAACCAGTCTTCACCCATTTTGTTTTTCTTTTGCAGAGCAAGCTAGGAATTGTTTCCCTTCTACTGGGCACAATACACGCATTGATTTTCGCCTGGAATAAGTGGATAGATATAAAACAATTTGTATGGTATACACCTCCAACTTTTATGATAGCTGTTTTTCTTCCAGTTGTTGTCCTGATATGTAAAAGCATATTATTCCTGCCATGCTTGAGGAAGAAGATATTGAAGATTAGACATGGTTGGGAAGACATCACCAAAATTAACAAAACTGAGATGTCTTCTCAGCTGTAGAATTACTGTTTACACACATTTGTATTAAATATCGATATATTTTATCACCAACATTTTAAGTTTGTATTTGTCAATAAAATGATTATTCAAAGATCTTAATGTTTCTCTTCACATATGTGTGATGAGTTTAAAATATGTGTATTTCCTTGTAGATTTGATTCAAAGCAAAAAAAAAATCTTTTTAACACTAATCTCTAGCACTTTCTCTATGATAAAGGTAAGCATGACAAAACAATAACATCTGATTTGTCAGATTAAATAGCTTACAAATAATCAAGAGCTTTGAAATACCAGTCCTTGCTGCCCATTAGACAGGTATCATTATGAAAAAATTATTTTATCTGAATCTACAACAAAAGCATAATAAGCATTTATTTACTATTACTAAAGAACTTTCATTTGTCTGTACCCAGGTTTTACTCATGGAACACTTTTCTCAAAAAACACAGACTATGTCTATACTAGTAAAGCAGCAGAGTAATATCAGATACAGTCAGGCAAAATAAAACTCAGGCTATCCAGGAGAAATAGTAAATTCAATAATTTCCACCTGAGTTATGTACAATTCAGTTTAACTTACTTTAATGCATTGGCAAAGCATAACATAAAACATTCCCTGAAAGAACAAACTATACATTAGCTGGCAGGACTTGCTAACCCAACTATGTGCTTCAGAAGTTTTTCATGATTAGCAAAAGTAATCACAAGCTTTATCTTTTATAGTGGTGAGCCACTTATTATTAAAGACAACAGAGATAATGGTGCAAATTAGGAAAAACAATTAGGCTATTCAGTAAGTGGAGTCCAGTTTTTCTATTTTTTCGATCGCAAAGGATGATTATTCATTATTAATTACATGGGGGATAAGGAGCTTCTTTGGGCACAAATTTGAACTCTGCATTATTGAGGTTCAGACATACAGAGATACATTCACAGTGAAGAAAGGAGTTGAGAGCAGCAATTCTGAACTGGAGACAGAGCAGACAAGAGTGTCCCTGAGAACAAAACTCAGCATAAAAGAAAAGGAAATCTAGGACCAGATTCATCAAAGGAACATAACTATGGGACCACTTAACTAAGCATGGCACGTGTCATTCCATAATCAACCGTCTCTGAGATGCAGCAGTCAAGTAACAGTTTCACCTGCATGGCAAAGTGTCAGCACCTTCGGTACTGAGAAGGAGAAATCAAGTTCCAACCTTCCTAGTACCAAGACATTGTAGACACTGCAGCTGAAGTGGCACCTCAGTGAAGCTTTCAGGAACAACAGCCCGAGTTCGGACTTGATTATTGAACCCTCCCCCCGCCTTGGTAGCCATGGTAACAAGCAACAACAGGCCTATTCTGAAACAGAGAATATACCTTTTTGAGGATTCCTAGTTAGAGGAAAAAGGGAATCAAAAGCAAGGCACAAAACATCTAGATTCCAGTTTTACTCATAGATTGGTAAGAACTAAACCACTCTGTAGCTTTTGTGAAGTTTTTACAATAGTTGGATAATATTGTTATGAGCCAAAGAAAACAATAAAAGTTGTCTTTAAAAGAACAAATATAATGTTCTGGTATAAGCTTGGATTTTCTTTTACTCACTCCACAAACATCTCTTGAGCATATTCCACATACCAGGTCAGTGCTAAACAGAGGATATGGCAAGATGGAAGTGACCTGGTCTCGCAGTCATGGGGAAGACAAATTTTACTGCACCAATGGATTCTGAGTGTGCTGGTACCACTTACGAGGGGATGACTGGTTTTGTTTACAAGAGCAAAGTCAGGAAAGTATGAGGTTGAGCCAGAAAAAAAACTCTTTGAGCTGGGTATTGTGTACGTAAAAGTTCCTCAGACAGAATGGAAGGGCAGGGTGTAATGTAACGTGTTGGAAGACCTAGCTTAGAGTGGCTGGAACAGAATATGTGAAAGAAATACCAGATTACATATAGACAAAAATTAGATAGGTTGAGGTCATTGTATGACATGAAACTAAGTTTGGGTTTTGCCCTTTAGGAAGTAGGGAAGCCAGTAAAAGTTTTAAACAGGAGCTAAACATTATTCAGGAGCTCCTACGCATTATTATTTTAGGTGCTAAACATTATTTTAGGAGCTAAACATTATTAGATTTGCATTCTAGAAAGATCTATCTGTAGACTATCCAGGAGATGAAGTTGATGGTGAGAGGCAAAGGGTGAAAGCAAGTTAGAAAACAACACAAATACTTAAGGAGACAACTATAATACCCCAGGGCAGAGGCAATACATCCCCAAATTAAGGTCATTACGGAGGAGAAGATAAAAGATGAGAGCTAATGAAATAGGAAGATTGAAGTTCTAGTCATTCATGAACAATAGCATAGAAAGACCAAGGGGGAGAAAGGAATTTAGGGTACAGTTCCCAGGATTCTTTTAGGTTGGATGATTTAAGAATGATCATATTAAACAGGATAGAAAAATTATATGGAAGGAGCAGATATTTTAACCAAAACAAAAACAGAGTATATGCTCTGTACATTGTATGCTGTTTACAATTGTCTCAGTTGCTAAGGGATGTAGTGTGTTTCTTTAGTTTCAGGATACACAAATATAACTATGAAAGGCATATCCTCTGGGAAGCATAAAGGAAAAGGTCTTTTTCTTGCCCCTTCAAAAGAATGATTTTTAAATAAAACATTTGATATGGTCAACACACTTATGTCTGGATAGTTATAGATATGAATATAGATATGAACGTGACTATACTATGACATGCACAGTGTCCTGGAGTAGAAGGAACAGTGCCTGGAAAACAGCTGGCTGTGAGCCCAGTGACTTCCTTCTCCAAGCAGAACTCTCCTTCTTGATCAAAATGAGTCTACCTGGGGTTTATTTTCTTTAAAGATTTGCTCAATAGAGATTTTATGATCTTTGGTTTAAAAAAAAGTCAAAATGATATATTTACTATTTTAATAACGAGTTACATATAATATTTTATGGCAACCAAAAATAAATATTTGATTCTGATGTGATTTTTCAGACCATAGACTACATGCCCAAAGCAGCCTGTAAGAAGTTATGGCCTATTAAGTGTGGAATCTATAAAATTCAACATACAAATTAATAACAAAATTGTGTGATTTTCATTAGTAACACTAACCATAGAATTTTATTCCAAGAATATGAACGACATGTAGTATTTGCTCCTTTTTTCTAAAACCTGTTTTCAAAGTAAAAGGGTTAAAATTTTTCCAGTTTGGATTTAATGTTAAGTTTTACTCGGTTAATTACAAGTCCTCTTCAAGCCAATTTTTCCAGGTGTTTTCAAGAGGCCCTTTGAAGAGGTAATACATTATTTGATCTTTGATTTATGGAAGATAATCCTGTGCTTTAAAAAAAATTAATGAATCACTGACTTGTGACCATTACACATTACCTGAAGCTAAAGTTCAGTGCCTTCTTATTCTCAGCTAGTTTCACTTCTTCAGTTGATCAGGGGTCCTTACATTTATTGTCATTGAGTATGTTATATTCTGAGAATTATTAATTGGTACCCATTTTAACTGTGTCAAGAACAAGTTGCCAGTTCCTCCTGCTATAAAATTATTGAGCTGGAAGAAACTGATGAGATCACCTGAACACTAATCCCTTGCCCAGAGGCATGACCCCACCAAAATGAGGCCTCCCTCAGCAAAACCTTTGTATTGCTGAACAACATTAAACAGGGAGAAGACAGGAACAGAACATAGGTGGCAAAATTGCAATGGTAAGGAACTTATAAGTTTTCTTAGGATCGAAATCCTCTCCTGCACCTCCACTGGACCAGGGAATAACTGAGTGGACAAGATCTAGGTTTTGGAGAACTAGGATGTTATGCTAGGGCTTGCTGATGATGCCACAATGATTGACACATCCCTAAGCACATGACCCTGGGAAATAATTTCAAACCTACTCTTGTCTGTAACTTAAAGTTGTACTATCACAAAAGTATTCATGGATTTAAACACAGTGGAGTTAAACAGTGTAAGAGCCAGAAAATGGGTTTATTTTTGTTTTTATAATAAAAAGAAACTCGTTGAGCAAATCTCTAACAAAAGTCCAGCATGTAACAGAGGTCAGAGTTGAAGTGGACCAGTAGGACCAGGACCATGCCTTTTTGTTACTTCTTCCATTCTGCTCACAAGCCCTTGTGACAACTTGGGCTCCCTGGTACACAATTTGAAAACCCTTCCTTATTTACACAGATGAGGAAATTGTGGCCCAGTGTGTTTAAGCTATTCCAACTGTCTCAGTTACTAATTGGCAAATGTATATCATCGAGCCTCGTGAATTAAATACAATAATTTTGACTAGCCATCTCTTTTTTCAGGGATTGCTTATCTGAAAGGCACAGAATTCTACTCAAACTTGCTCAAGTAAAGGAGGAGATACAAACAACATAGAAGGGGTATGATAAAGTGAAGAATTACTAGATTCATAGGCCTTGGAGCTGGGATCCTACAAGACAGAAATTAAATTCATCTGCTTGTTCTGTCTCCATAGACGGGTATAGCAATGCTTTGAAGTTCACAGTGGGTTCTTTCCCAGTTTTCCCTAATTTGGCAACTAGATCAACAGCTGAGAAAGGTGCTAAATAAGATTCATTCTAATTTCAGATAACATCCAGCTATGAAGTCCAGAAGGGCTCGTTGAGAGGTGCTTCCAGCAAAATTAGCACTACAAGGACTCACCACCTCGCTACCCATACATAATAAAGAGAGAGGACAGAGGGAGTGTGAAGGTCTCATGTGGTCTGAGAAATGCAGCTTTGATGAAGACAAACTCTGCTGCTGTCTTACCTCACCTGTGAGGGAAGGGAGCACAGATTAAACTCCTTACCTACTCTACACCCTTGCTGAACAAGATGAATGGGACTGGAAAATAGCACACAACTAGCACACTGACTAGCCTGACTTTAAATTTGCGATCACGATGTTAAGTGAACTTTTAGTACTCACTTGTCTGCATATATTTATATAAGAACTCTGTTTGTCTCCTATTAAAACTGCTATTACTCATCTTCCTTCCACTCAGTTCAACAATAGCCTCTCCTCTTATACTCAACTGGTAGATTTTCCTTAGGAAATAGA